TTTTATTATCGTTTCTTTACGATTTAGTAATTTTCCATGTAAGGGATTTATAGGTGACACGACGCAGTCTGAGACTCGAAAGTATTTACATTTCTTCTCAGTATTATATGTTTTGATTCGTCCCTAAATAACCAGCCTACATAAATGCAACAAAAGTTCAGAGCAAGCTTAGATTGTCGAGTTAAAGGCGACTTTGCAAAAAGTTGCACGTTATCATACTTGCCACAAAAGTTGTCACAGGACACGTTTTTGAGTTGTAGGCACTTCAGGGTAGAATTAAAGGTGTTATTAAAAAGTTGTCATTTTCCTATGGTAACCTGTTATATGGAAGCGATGTCCGCAACTTAATAACATGGATAGCTTACGATTAAGATTAGCAGAAATATTATCGCAAATAAACAATATTCCTGAAAAAAGTCATGTTATTCCCTTATTTGTGTGATCAAATGTGATGTGGGATCAAATGACAAACTGTAGTAATATTGAACCATCACGGAAGAGGGGATGGAAAGAGCTAGGAACTATTGTCAGCCGCGTTATTTGATGTAATATCCCAAAAAGTTTCTTAATTTGGTTATTTCTGCTAATCTTTATGCTCACCGAAACATGAATTATGCCGATCAAAGGAAACGTCAATTAACAAAACAAATAAATATCACTTATTTTCCAGCCTCGCCTCATGTGCATAATCTATCCAGCATCCGGTATTGATGTAGATTGTTTTTCCTGTTCTGTTCTTGATTCTGTGATCTCGCCATACATGGGTGTGTCCCAAAACAACGACATCCTCACCACACTGACATATAAAATCGTCAAAGTTTCCTACTGATCCCTTCAGCAGGCTGTATGTGTAACTAGAGCCAAACTGGTGGCAATTAAACAAGAGAAACGCATTTAAAACTCTTTTAGGCAGAAATCACTGATGGAACGATGAATAACCATGAAATTGCGGCATTATCCTAAGGAGACGTACTAAATCAACATCAGTTCTGGTTCCGAACTCGGTAAACTGAAACTAACGACTGTTGCGTGGCTTTTTTTGGACGTTACCCATTCTCTGCATGCGAAATAATACCACCACCGTGGTACAAGGGGGGCAGTGGAACCAATCCCCTGGATATTCGTAGTCATAAGATTTTGGTTTTTTTGGTTTTTTTTTTTTACATTTTTCATGTTTAATAGAGAGTCCTCAGGTTGCTATACAACATGAGATATTTGTTTTTGGTCATGTTGTTGTTGTTGTTTATAGTAGTCAAAGCGCTTAGCTATACCTAGCTAGTTGACAGGCATGCCACTTAAAATGATTGAAACAAATATATTTAAACTAAACATAATAGGCTTAAAAATCCCAACTGAGTGTTTTAAATTATATTTAAATGAAATATTACGCCGCATAAAAACATGTCTAATGGGTAATAAATAATTTACCCTCTAGATCTCTACACAGTTTTGTTAGCGATTTAGCAAGTATCATTGCTCCTGCATGCAAGGAGTGAATTATAATTTGTCGACTACTTATCTAAAAGAAATTAATTATACCGAAATGGTGACTCTACCTTTTCGATTGCTCGTTTAATGTACCGATATTTGATGACGTTTGACATTTTGATCCACTTCCCTTCTTCAAGAAGGACGTACTCATCGTCGTTGACGTCACGACCCAAGCTTCGCTCGATCATGGACTCGGTAAATTTCTTTTGCAATGGAGCCTTCGCCAACATCTCAACGACAAAAGATCCCAAATCCCCTCCAAGCGTCCGCATCAGAGACGTCGTCACTTGTCTCAGAATCTAACAGCAAGGTAATAAGAAATTCATTCCAAAATACTCTTAAAATCAACAAATATTCCTCAAGTTTAATTGAGGGATATCTTAATTGTGACCGTGTTTGGATATTTGATCTTAATTAACCTAAGTTTTTACGACCTTATTTCTTCGTTCTCTCCTTATAGCTTTAATTTTTGATTGAGAAGTTATATCAAACAAGAACGACCTTGTCTTACCACATTTTCAAATTTCTCAACGCTCGTCAATACCCGGCCGGTGGATCGTATTTTAAGGTCTATTCTCTTTGTCTACACAATGTAACGTGGCAAAATACGGTCTCTCGTGTTTCATATATTACTTTTATATCCACCTTTCCAAGCAAAGTTATCCGCCACCCTCCCCAGAGAAACAAATCTGGATATTCATAATGTTGTCATGATGAGTAGGGTACCCAGCCGTTGATCCCCAACGGCATGTAGTAGATATATATTTTATAGTAGCAAAAATGGTATAAATTGTATCATATCGATATAAAGGACATCATATTTGCCAGTTCAAATTTACCATCTTAAACTGGCCAGCTCGGGTTCGCAATTTCAGAGTTTTTGTCAAAGCTTAATATATAAACTGATTCTAAAACAAGCCTAGTAAAATCTTACTAGCATATTTATATTTCTTACGTCAGGAGCTCAAAATATGATGGCCATGGAAACATCAAGTCAAGGGAAAAAAAAGAAAACCTCTTTTTAGTAAACTATTGAGAAAAAATATTCAATTATCATCGTCTTACCTAATTAATGTTTGATATGTGATAAATCAGTAACATTCAATTTCTAAATACCTAGAAAACTGCTGAATAGACGACTCTAGCGGTGTATTGTAGAAGAACTTTAAAACGTTTGGAAATGTGATAAAACTCCGATTGCAGTGATTAACAATTAAAACCATCCACTAAAAAGTTTCTTATCTCACAACGTTAATTGAAATAGTGGCGTACACTCACTTCTTCGGTCTCGGTCATAACTGCATCTGTCGTAGCCACTGCCCTTGTGACGTAATACCCTATGGGTCTGCCACCCAGGGGATCGTCTGAATCAGTTAAAGAGTACGTGTTAAATAGATCCCAGTCATGGCCATGCGCAAAACGTATTCTGTACTGCTGCCCGTCGTCACTGTTGATGACGTAGATGAGGGTTCCTGCAATAAATTCCACTTTCTTTCCCATGAGCTCCGCCACAGCCTCGGCAGTCATCTCATGGTCATGATTGCCTCTTATGTAAAACACTTTGACGCCGTCTTCCTCTGCCATTTTTCGCACAACTTTAAAGAAGAGGTCGCAAGTAACGTTCGACTTCCATTTGGCGATACGCTCCTTGAGAGTGAGAGGCGAGAGTGTCATTGGCTCCAGCCACATCTCAACGACATCTCCGAGTAGAACCAAGGTATGTAACGAAACCTGTAAATAGAAAGACAACGAGACTATTTCTTAGCTAGAAATCCGAGGTAAGTTTTGTACTAAGAAAAAAGTGATATTGTGAAGGTATGTTGCTGCGGTCCCTCGTTGTTAGAGAATGATTATGTCTTTAAAACCTAGCTGACTTCAAAAAGAGAAAGGACCAGAATGTTTACTAAATTATTGATTAATTAATCAGGTAATCTCAATGTTCAATGTATTTAGGAGGCAGGGGTGGCGCGGTGGTGAGAGAGCCAGCCTCCCAGTAGTGTGACCCTGGTTTGGATCCAAAACAAGGCTTCGTAAGTGGGTTGGGTAAGGTATTTTACTGTTATTTTTGTTGTGGAAGTTCTTCTGGTTCTGCGGTTTTCCTCCCCACACAAAAACCATCAATTTCCTTTGATCTGTTCTTACCTCAGCTACACTTGCCAGTTTGGTGATAAAACTGTTAAGTCTATCGTACATATTTTTGCTCCATTCACAGTCAAGATGAAGATCGCTCATTGATAAAATCTTGTTCTTCGTTGGGTGGTTGGGGTTAATCATCTCTCGAACTTCGACCCTTTCGGCATCGGTGCCTTTGGGAGGATGATAGCTAAAAGTAGAAAATAGTTCAATCAATCAATCAATCAATCAATCAATCAATCAGTCAGTCAATCAGTCAATCAATCAACCAATCAATCAATCAATCAATCAATCAACCAACTAATCAGCCCTAACCACCATAAAGGTCAATTCATCAATGAAATAAATCAAAAAGAGCTACCCTCCTACCATGGCCTTACACGCGTATTATATTATCAATAGATACGTTTCATACCTGGGTTCCTTTTTCACTGTGTTCTTTCTGGCAGCCTTAGATGGCCATTGTTGCGAAGCCTCCAAAGGGGTGATATCGTGCAGCTTGTCCCAAATACTTTTTACTTTGCTGAGTTCGAAGACGTCTTTGGCTTCAGCAGGATAAGTGAGTTCTTCTTCATCATCCGAAGAATCAATATCCCGATGTTTCACTTCTAGATCTGTCGACAGATCTGGTGAGGTCGTTGTAGTCTTTTTGGAGTCATCGGTTTGGCCTACAATATAACGTTCTTATAGTTAAAAAGCAATGGTTTATGTGGCATTTTACGAGCTGTAACCTGAAATGTTCAAGGAATCTCTCTCCCTTTGCATATCGAATGTTGTTACATATTCTTTTATGTTCATTTGTTGTTGTTGTCGAATTAAGGTTTGTTGCTGTAGATGTCAGAAACGAGTGGAACCAACTACCTTGACAAAGAAAAAAAAAACTTACAAACTTTAGACTTCAGGGATGCTACTGCGTGTGTTATAGAATTGCATGCATTTTCATCCAGGAGAAGGTCATCCTCGGCATGTGCATCTAAAGCTTTCAAGATATGTGGATAAACATCGTGGACTGCAGCCTTTCCAATAATACAATCCAGGTGACCATAGCCAGGGATCTGGATCCAAGTGTATTCTTGTGCAGGATGGGCCTCTTTAACAAGGTTGAAAGTTTTAAAGGTGTTTTCAGGCAAAAAGCAACTGTTCTTCTCGCCTATTAAGGTAAAGTCAGCAGCTCGCTTAGCAATTTCAGCGAGGGAGCTGTATGTAAATTGATTAGGCATGTACAAAAATGATATATATGCTCAATACAATGTTATAGTTTTATATACGGCAATAAATGAAATTTAAGGGAATTTTTGACATTTTTTATGCACTTTAAGGGGTATCCCTTGGTCTTTGTGAGCATTTGCGAGCACACGAGCAGTGCATTGCACGATTATTATTGCGAGCACAAGCAGAGTTCAAAATTTGTCTTGCGATCAGCGAGCACTTTAGAAAATAGAGATGGCGAGCAGCGAGCAGCGAGCACTTTGTAAATTCTCCGCTAGCCGGAATCTCTCTTTCATTAAAAGGAAACGTTGTTTTGTGCCATGTAATCGGCGTGACACCTCCAAAACGGGACAATGGTTGCAAAGCCGGGCAGCATGTTAAGATTTATCGCTATTCAACCAATCCCAGCAGCTTACAGCCAATTATGCCTTGTCTGATGTAGCTTCACCTGAGTCAATGAGGGGACGCTCAATTGATCAATGAGATCTATTAAAATCTTTCTAACCACACTACGAAAAGGGACTTAAAGCTACCAGACTCCAGAAGCCGAACATATGAGCAGTTGCAGACATTTTGCTAGCACGAGCAAACGAGTTCTCATCAAATTTTTGCGAGCAATTCGAGTAAAGGTCAAATTTTGTGAACACTTTTAAGTTGAATGGGACCATTCGATACCCCTACTATCAAAGTCCAAGATAGCGGATTCAAAACACGGAAAAATTGATAACGCCAATTTGACGTAACTGACGTCATCTGACGTCATCCGTCATCGATTCTTATTTAGCTCCTATTTAGCCTGGGCCTTCTTTTCGTGACCTTTTTGTAACCCTTCCCCCCACCTTCCCACTCCCTTTGCCTAGTCAATGGCAATACATCTTATATTATGTGTAAAGCACCCGAGCCTGTGTACTTTAGTGATAATTGCGTGTCAATCATGCCATTACATTAGGCGAAAATGACCTCACATATTTCAAAATGTTGGCCTTGCCGATCGGATACGCCATACAAGAAATTGTTGGGAGGTCGAATCCTCATAAATTCCAAACTCGCACTAAAACAGAAATTTCAGGTTTTTAAAACCCCAAAATTTCTATAAAATACTCTTTGAAAAACAAGGTTGCAATTGAAAAAAAGTCACGTGATTAAATAATTGACAAACGGTTTCCGATTTTTTTTCGTGATAACTTTTAGGACAGGTCACAAAATTCGACCACTTTTGCTTAAATGGTGTTTAAGGACAAAAAGATTGAACCTAAAGAAGTCCTTCAGGCGCCCATCCTACTTCCTAGGTTAAAGAGGGCTGAGAAAGAAACATGATTTATTGCTCAAGAGACCATTTAAATTTGACTAATGTGGTGTGAATTCCTTTGAACTCAATAGGCTCGCAGAAGAGAAAAATTCTCGTATGATATTGCCATTGCTGAAACACCGCCGAAACCACGATTAAGACGATAACAGTGGCGGTGGCTGCTTCGGAAGGGGCGGTTGCTAATGTTGCTCGACTAGTTATATTACTACTACTACTGCTGCACGTGATTATACCGCCACTACCACAGTATACCTTCAACTACCACTCACCGACAATGAAACATATGGGTATGTTCATTCTCCTTATATGTTTCTTGTATGCTGTCGATTCTAGACGATCTTTCTTCTCCATGTCTGGTAAGTAGATGTCTTTGCCTGATGCCGAGACCAGCTTTCTTTTCCGCATCGTTAGGGCGATCTGATTCGCTACCTTGGTTGACAAGTAGCCAAAGAACTCATGCAAGGAATCGTGTGTGAGAGGGTTCAGATTCTCGTGTTCCCAAAGTAGGCCATAAAGAAACGTAATTCTGCAAAAGTTTGTGATACCAGTTACAAATGTAAAGAGAAAAGGTTTTTCAGCTGCAAGTTGAAAAACAAACTTTGCTACTTCTTCTCCTCCGTTAGTGGCACATTTTGTTGTTGTTTTAATTGGTGCACACTGGTTTCTGATGTGTGCAGGACCCATGTAAAATGCATCGATATAAAACACTAGTTTTAAAATCAGTCGGATAATCCACCAATTAACCATTTTATAGTCCTTCCAAGTTCACAATAGCGTGGTTTACAGTTGAGCCGTGGTAAGATCAAAATCAAAATAATCACTCTGGCCAACTTCAACAAACGAAGTCAATCCAGTAAAACAATAGAAACTTGAAGAAAATACACTTTCTGAGAACTAAGTTTACCTTTTTTCACATCCAAGAACTTATATAACTCCTGATGTTATTCAAGCGAATTGAACAATTACCTGTGACAAACGGGATTGCGGCATAATTCATCATAAGGCAAAAATATACTTGTGACGCCTTTCGCGAACTTGTTAAAAAGTTTATCGCTGAATGAAGCAAAGTCATCAGTGTCTGCGGTGAGTCCATCTACGCCGAGTGCTTCTGCTGTTCCCGGAATATATAGGCCTGCTTTCAGCTTGTTTAACAAGGCTGGAACAGGGTTTGCAGCTAACTGACTGCAAACCAGACTTCTAACCTTTCCCTCAAGTGCACCAGACAGAAGGGAGGCACAACACACCCAGGATCCAACGCAGTGTGCAACCACTTGAACAGTTTTCTAGGAATATGATGAATCAAAGCTTTGTCGATGTTGCGTGAGCGTTCTCTTAATGTAACATTAATGAAAAATACCGAAAAAAATGAATGAAAATAAAAGTACGACGCTCGATTGATCAATACACTTCCGTTGGCCTTTTTGACTTCACTACCATGGGCATACAGTGGAACCTCCGGCTGGGACCACCTTTCCTCAACGACCAGCTTTTCAAGATACCAAAAGTTTCCCCGTCAAATCAATACACTTGGAACCTCTTGTAAGCGCCCACCTCTCGTAAACGACCGCGACCACTTTTAGAGCTAAAAGTTTGAAATTTTCTTTTGTTTTTAACCTCCCGTAAATGACCATTTGACAGATAACAGAGCGAAAATTGGATAATAAGGATTTGTAATATTATTGCATTCCTCGGTTGTACAAGAGACAGAAATTATCAATGGGAATTACTGAAATTTTTACTCGAAATTGACTTTCCAAAAGGAAACACCCTTAAAAATTTAAAGAAAAACTGCACATACGCTGTACTCTATCAGTCTTAAATGAGGCAAAAGTTTGACTCAATATGGTCTGAGTTCTCGTAAGCGACCACATAGTCTTGACATTTTGGGTGGTCGCTTACGGGGGGTTCGACTGTATTTTTACCTCAACACTCTATATCTTCTCTAAAAAACAGTTGACAGGGTTGGGAGGGAGTGAGTTGTACATATGTTCGTGTTTAGTTATGTGATTAGCACTACGTGTGTGCCTGGGTTAGATTTGACTATCTGAAGAACCTTGAAAACAGTCTTGCTGGCTATAGAATGCCTCCAGAAATACCTGCTTGGTGACTTCAAGGACTTTGTTTATGGCTGCAGGGTGATCGAACGCGGCGCAGTCATCCAATGTGTAATCCTGGTATACAGCCCACGGGAGGTCACAAGACAGCCGCAAATCAACGAGCCACACGTCATATCTAAAAAGAGGAATAAGAACCCAGGTATGACACTATTTATGCATTTTTCAAAAAGACGTCACAAAAATGCACCTTAAAACGAAAATCTCCACTTTGCAAACTGACTTTCGAATACTGAAAATCACTAGCGTGCATGTACCATACTCCCACTGCAGCTTACACAATCATCGTTAGCTGCAAACCCTGTTCCAGAGAATGGTAAATGCGAGACTTTGCGCTAGGGCGAGATTGGCGTTTTTCTACAAGTTCAAGGCATTTCGACTTAAAGTGTTTTATGCTCGCTTGAGACGTTCGGTGCCTCGAAACTTTTTTAGCCTGGAAAAAATTTAGACTGCGAGACAGCTTCGTGAAAAAATCGAGACTGCGAGAACCGCGAAATCTGACGAATATTTTGCGAGACGCATGGTTGGTTTTGAAGGACAATTTACCTCTCCTTTTCACTGAAGTTAACATCCTAGAGATGTATCTCTGTATTCTATCACGCAGGTGATAATAATAAAGAAGATGAAAACAAATAACAAGCAAGACTATGCATATGTTACCTGTGTTCCACAAGGAATTCGACGAGATTGGTTTCAATGGTGTCCAAGCTATAAATTACACTGCTCACACCAGCTCCGTGAAACATTACCACAGGACCCTTCTTCCCGCCTTCAAAACGCGTCAATCGCAGTTCAAACTATAATAAAAGAGTAAATTATACTCTTACCGCATTGTGTGTGAGAGCGCCACAATAAGAACACGTACATTACATGTATATATTACAAGAAGCTCGTGAAGATTAAGTGCCACCTCATGATGTTGCAGAAAGTTTTTAGAGATCTGCTGTCACAAAACCTGCGATCAAGCCAATCCTTCGTGTTTCATTTGTCAATCCGAGAGTGAGTTAAAACTCTCAATTTCAATTTGTTTGTTTTATCATTCTAATTTTCCCGAACGTATGTTGGTTCATATTACTAAACGATTTGTTTCAGAACAGTACAAGAAGAACAGACAGTTTAATATTTTTTAGTCCGGCTCGTGCACTTCGCTCGTGTCTCAGTGATTACACACCAGCAAAAGTGTTCATAGAGTGTGTTCACATAACGTCACGGCAGCCATATTGGTGTCCTAAAACCATTAAACGACGGTCATGCTGTAAACACTTTGTTTTGTTCCAATAAATTTGCATGGCTGTTGACCACCCAAGAGAAAACACCCTATTGGTTTATCAGTTCTTCAACTTATACTAGCTTGTGTCACTAATGTCCTCAAACCGTCTGCCTATACTACATGTATTCTGTATGTTTTAGCCAGTAACTAATGAGTTGTAACAGGATGGGTCACAGCTACTTTTTCTCGTGTCGGTAATTTCCTTATACCCTTTGCTATGTCAACGAGCCGTGAGTTTGGTTTGCTAATTACTAATGAGTAAACAAAGGATGGATTACAGGTACCTTATCTTTAGTGATGCACTTGTAGACTTCTGGATGTTTCCCATTCAGTCGAAGGGGCCTTTTCATCCTTGGCGGTGCGTTAAGATCAAAGTGGGTCTTCTTTGTTGTAACAGGACTGTAAATGTCCAAAAGACTGCCAGTGAAAAAGGCACAGAACCGTGACACCCACTTTAACTTCTCCATCTTGCTTTCTGTGTGCGTAACTTCGGTCGCGGCCAGCTGCTTCATGAAATTGGGGGGTGTAACAAAAAGTTTTGCTTTTCCCACGGGCTTCCCAGAGAACTTATTCCCGTTATAAATGGTAACGAACAAAGTCGTAGTATCTCCAAGTCCGATCTCTCCAAACGAGTCGTTCTTTACATACTTGATGCCATCGAAGGAAAATGTTTTGCCACGAATTCCAGTGAGAATCATTTTGTAAACCATTTCCTTGGTGTCTATGTGCTCAGTACTTTGATTTAAGAACTGAAAATGACCTTAAGTGACCAAATAATAATGTAATTTAGAACAGCTAAGAATTGAAAAGGCTAAGCAAGTCTGCGTTATCAGTAATTAAACTTTTATCGATCGGGGAGGATCCAGGATCTTTCTTTGGAGATTTTCTAAAGCGCTTTAGATTCGGTGCTGCTTTGGATCATGATTTTTGCCACAACTGGCTCCGTATGTAATTCAGCGTATTAGGAGGCTCGTCCAGTGGGAAAGCAATAAACGCTAGCGGGAGCTGAGGAGTGCTGTGAGCGAAAGGCTGAGATTGGCGACGTGTTACATTTTTATTCCCGTCCTTATCGTCTTGCCCTTTTTGCTTCAACTAGTTTTTCTGGCGCTTCTAATTACTGGTTTTCTTGTAGTTTCCTCATAATTGCCTTCTAACAGATTTTAGTATAATTCTACAAGTGTTCACGAATGCCGTTTTCTGATTGGCTACGCTACTCAGCATGATTCTGTGATAGATAGTGAGTAGCGTAACAGTCTGCTCTTGTTAACAAAATGACGGCCGCTTCTTGGCTTTTTCGAAGTGTCTGTGAAGAGGATTTAGATTAAGTTTTGAACGACTAGTAGCTTTATACTNCTCTCTTTCATTAAAAGGAAACGTTGTTTTGTGCCATGTAATCGGCGTGACACCTCCAAAACGGGACAATGGTTGCAAAGCCGGGCAGCATGTTAAGATTTATCGCTATTCAACCAATCCCAGCAGCTTACAGCCAATTATGCCTTGTCTGATGTAGCTTCACCTGAGTCAATGAGGGGACGCTCAATTGATCAATGAGATCTATTAAAATCTTTCTAACCACACTACGAAAAGGGACTTAAAGCTACCAGACTCCAGAAGCCGAACATATGAGCAGTTGCAGACATTTTGCTAGCACGAGCAAACGAGTTCTCATCAAATTTTTGCGAGCAATTCGAGTAAAGGTCAAATTTTGTGAACACTTTTAAGTTGAATGGGACCATTCGATACCCCTACTATCAAAGTCCAAGATAGCGGATTCAAAACACGGAAAAATTGATAACGCCAATTTGACGTAACTGACGTCATCTGACGTCATCCGTCATCGATTCTTATTTAGCTCCTATTTAGCCTGGGCCTTCTTTTCGTGACCTTTTTGTAACCCTTCCCCCCACCTTCCCACTCCCTTTGCCTAGTCAATGGCAATACATCTTATATTATGTGTAAAGCACCCGAGCCTGTGTACTTTAGTGATAATTGCGTGTCAATCATGCCATTACATTAGGCGAAAATGACCTCACATATTTCAAAATGTTGGCCTTGCCGATCGGATACGCCATACAAGAAATTGTTGGGAGGTCGAATCCTCATAAATTCCAAACTCGCACTAAAACAGAAATTTCAGGTTTTTAAAACCCCAAAATTTCTATAAAATACTCTTTGAAAAACAAGGTTGCAATTGAAAAAAAGTCACGTGATTAAATAATTGACAAACGGTTTCCGATTTTTTTTCGTGATAACTTTTAGGACAGGTCACAAAATTCGACCACTTTTGCTTAAATGGTGTTTAAGGACAAAAAGATTGAACCTAAAGAAGTCCTTCAGGCGCCCATCCTACTTCCTAGGTTAAAGAGGGCTGAGAAAGAAACATGATTTATTGCTCAAGAGACCATTTAAATTTGACTAATGTGGTGTGAATTCCTTTGAACTCAATAGGCTCGCAGAAGAGAAAAATTCTCGTATGATATTGCCATTGCTGAAACACCGCCGAAATCACGATTAAGACGATAACAGTGGCGGTGGCTGCTTCGGAAGGGGCGGTTGCTAATGTTGCTCGACTAGTTATATTACTACTACTACTGCTGCACGTGATTATACCGCCACTACCACAGTATACCTTCAACTACCACTCACCGACAATGAAACATATGGGTATGTTCATTCTCCTTATATGTTTCTTGTATGCTGTCGATTCTAGACGATCTTTCTTCTCCATGTCTGGTAAGTAGATGTCTTTGCCTGATGCCGAGACCAGCTTTCTTTTCCGCATCGTTAGGGCGATCTGATTCGCTACCTTGGTTGACAAGTAGCCAAAGAACTCATGCAAGGAATCGTGTGTGAGAGGGTTCAGATTCTCGTGTTCCCAAAGTAGGCCATAAAGAAACGTAATTCTGCAAAAGTTTGTGATACCAGTTACAAATGTAAAGAGAAAAGGTTTTTCAGCTGCAAGTTGAAAAACAAACTTTGCTACTTCTTCTCCTCCGTTAGTGGCACATTTTGTTGTTGTTTTAATTGGTGCACACTGGTTTCTGATGTGTGCAGGACCCATGTAAAATGCATCGATATAAAACACTAGTTTTAAAATCAGTCGGATAATCCACCAATTAACCATTTTATAGTCCTTCCAAGTTCACAATAGCGTGGTTTACAGTTGAGCCGTGGTAAGATCAAAATCAAAATAATCACTCTGGCCAACTTCAACAAACGAAGTCAATCCAGTAAAACAATAGAAACTTGAAGAAAATACACTTTCTGAGAACTAAGTTTACCTTTTTTCACATCCAAGAACTTATATAACTCCTGATGTTATTCAAGCGAATTGAACAATTACCTGTGACAAACGGGATTGCGGCATAATTCATCATAAGGCAAAAATATACTTGTGACGCCTTTCGCGAACTTGTTAAAAAGTTTATCGCTGAATGAAGCAAAGTCATCAGTGTCTGCGGTGAGTCCATCTACGCCGAGTGCTTCTGCTGTTCCCGGAATATATAGGCCTGCTTTCAGCTTGTTTAACAAGGCTGGAACAGGGTTTGCAGCTAACTGACTGCAAACCAGACTTCTAACCTTTCCCTCAAGTGCACCAGACAGAAGGGAGGCACAACACACCCAGGATCCAACGCAGTGTGCAACCACTTGAACAGTTTTCTAGGAATATGATGAATCAAAGCTTTGTCGATGTTGCGTGAGCGTTCTCTTAATGTAACATTAATGAAAAATACCGAAAAAAATGAATGAAAATAAAAGTACGACGCTCGATTGATCAATACACTTCCGTTGGCCTTTTTGACTTCACTACCATGGGCATACAGTGGAACCTCCGGCTGGGACCACCTTTCCTCAACGACCAGCTTTTCAAGATACCAAAAGTTTCCCCGTCAAATCAATACACTTGGAACCTCTTGTAAGCGCCCACCTCTCGTAAACGACCGCGACCACTTTTAGAGCTAAAAGTTTGAAATTTTCTTTTGTTTTTAACCTCCCGTAAATGACCATTTGACAGATAACAGAGCGAAAATTGGATAATAAGGATTTGTAATATTATTGCATTCCTCGGTTGTACAAGAGACAGAAATTATCAATGGGAATTACTGAAATTTTTACTCGAAATTGACTTTCCAAAAGGAAACACCCTTAAAAATTTAAAGAAAAACTGCACATACGCTGTACTCTATCAGTCTTAAATGAGGCAAAAGTTTGACTCAATATGGTCTGAGTTCTCGTAAGCGACCACATAGTCTTGACATTTTGGGTGGTCGCTTACGGGGGGTTCGACTGTATTTTTACCTCAACACTCTATATCTTCTCTAAAAAACAGTTGACAGGGTTGGGAGGGAGTGAGTTGTACATATGTTCGTGTTTAGTTATGTGATTAGCACTACGTGTGTGCCTGGGTTAGATTTGACTATCTGAAGAACCTTGAAAACAGTCTTGCTGGCTATAGAATGCCTCCAGAAATACCTGCTTGGTGATTTCAAGGACTTTGTTTATGGCTGCAGGGTGATCGAATGCGGCGCAGTCATCCAATGTGTAATCCTGGTATACAGCCCACGGGAGGTCACAAGACAGCCGCAAATCAACGAGCCACACGTCATATCTAAAAAGAGGAATAAGAACCCAGGTATGACACTATTTATGCATTTTTCAAAAAGACGTCACAAAAATGCACCTTAAAACGAAAATCTCCACTTTGCAAACTGACTTTCGAATACTGAAAATCACTAGCGTGCATGTACCATACTCCCACTGCAGCTTACACAATCATCGTTAGCTGCAAACCCTGTTCCAGAGAATGGTAAATGCGAGACTTTGCGCTAGGGCGAGATTGGCGTTTTTCTACAAGTTCAAGGCATTTCGACTTAAAGTGTTTTATGCTCGCTTGAGACGTTCGGTGCCTCGAAACTTTTTTAGCCTGGAAAAAATTTAGACTGCGAGACAGCTTCGTGAAAAAATCGAGACTGCGAGAACCGCGAAATCTGACGAATATTTTGCGAGACGCATGGTTGGTTTTGAAGGACAATTTACCTCTCCTTTTCACTGAAGTTAACATCCTAGAGATGTATCTCTGTATTCTATCACGCAGGTGATAATAATAAAGAAGATGAAAACAAATAACAAGCAAGACTATGCATATGTTACCTGTGTTCCACAAGGAATTCGACGAGATTGGTTTCAATGGTGTCCAAGCTATAAATTACACTGCTCACACCAGCTCCGTGAAACATTACCACAGGACCCTTCTTCCCGCCTTCAAAACGCGTCAATCGCAGTTCAAACTATAATAAAAGAGTAAATTATACTCTTACCGCATTGTGTGTGAGAGCGCCACAATAAGAACACGTACATTACATGTATATATTACAAGAAGCTCGTGAAGATTAAGTGCCACCTCATGATGTTGCAGAAAGTTTTTAGAGATCTGCTGTCACAAAACCTGCGATCAAGCCAATCCTTCGTGTTTCATTTGTCAATCCGAGAGTGAGTTAAAACTCTCAATTTCAATTTGTTTGTTTTATCATTCTAATTTTCCCGAACGTATGTTGGTTCATATTACTAAACGATTTGTTTCAGAACAGTACAAGAAGAACAGACAGTTTAATATTTTTTAGTCCGGCTCGTGCACTTCGCTCGTGTCTCAGTGATTACACACCAGCAAAAGTGTTCATAGAGTGTGTTCACATAACGTCACGGCAGCCATATTGGTGTCCTAAAACCATTAAACGACGGTCATGCTGTAAACACTTTGTTTTGTTCCAATAAATTTGCATGGCTGTTGACCACCCAAGAGAAAACACCCTATTGGTTTATCAGTTCTTCAACTTATACTAGCTTGTGTCACTAATGTCCTCAAACCGTCTGCCTATACTACATGTATTCTGTATGTTTTAGCCAGTAACTAATGAGTTGTAACAGGATGGGTCACAGCTACTTTTTCTCGTGTCGGTAATTTCCTTATACCCTTTGCTATGTCAACGAGCCGTGAGTTTGGTTTGCTAATTACTAATGAGTAAACAAAGGATGGATTACAGGTACCTTATCTTTAGTGATGCACTTGTAGACTTCTGGATGTTTCCCATTCAGTCGAAGGGGCCTTTTCATCCTTGGCGGTGCGTTAAGATCAAAGTGGGTCTTCTTTGTTGTAACAGGACTGTAAATGTCCAAAAGACTGCCAGTGAAAAAGGCACAGAACCGTGACACCCACTTTAACTTCTCCATCTTGCTTTCTGTGTGCGTAACTTCGGTCGCGGCCAGCTGCTTCATGAAATTGGGGGGTGTAACAAAAAGTTTTGCTTTTCCCACGGGCTTCCCAGAGAACTTATTCCCGTTATAAATGGTAACGAACAAAGTCGTAGTATCTCCAAGTCCGATCTCTCCAAACGAGTCGTTCTTTACATACTTGATGCCATCGAAGGAAAATGTTTTGCCACGAATTCCAGTGAGAATCATTTTGTAAACCATTTCCTTGGTGTCTATGTGCTCAGTACTTTGATTTAAGAACTGAAAATGACCTTAAGTGACCAAATAATAATGTAATTTAGAACAGCTAAGAATTGAAAAGGCTAAGCAAGTCTGCGTTATCAGTAATTAAACTTTTATCGATCGGGGAGGATCCAGGATCTTTCTTTGGAGATTTTCTAAAGCGCTTTAGATTCGGTGCTGCTTTGGATCATGATTTTTGCCACAACTGGCTCCGTATGTAATTCAGCGTATTAGGAGGCTCGTCCAGTGGGAAAGCAATAAACGCTAGCGGGAGCTGAGGAGTGCTGTGAGCGAAAGGCTGAGATTGGCGACGTGTTACATTTTTATTCCCGTCCTTATCGTCTTGCCCTTTTTGCTTCAACTAGTTTTTCTGGCGCTTCTAATTACTGGTTTTCTTGTAGTTTCCTCATAATTGCCTTCTAACAGATTTTAGTATAATTCTACAAGTGTTCACGAATGCCGTTTTCTGATTGGCTACGCTACTCAGCATGATTCTGTGATAGATAGTGAGTAGCGTAACAGTCTGCTCTTGTTAACAAAATGACGGCCGCTTCTTGGCTTTTTCGAAGTGTCTGTGAAGAGGATTTAGATTAAGTTTTGAACGACTAGTAGCTTTATACTGAAACGATTAGATTATTCGCTCTCGATTTCTATCGCGCGATAGTTCACGCGATGGAAATCTCGAGCTCATAATCTAATTGCTTAATAAAGCTAACGCTTCGTCATAAAATGTAATGAGCTGAACCATTTCTCAACTTTAATTACCTGCCGTGACTGTCATTGGCGCCATGGACAGTGCTGGACAAGTAACCGTGCCGCTTATTGTGGCGGCGTGTGCTGGGTCACAGTTAATCATGCTTTCCACATCTTGAGACTCTATAGTCACGGTGAATTCACACGGTGTTCCTCCTTTTTGATTCTTTGTAGACGTGAACGTTCCGAGCATTTTCTCCGTAAAACGGATGCCGGGCTTTCTCTTAGCAAACGCTGATCTGTCTGAAGACGACAAATGAGTGCACATTATTAACATATCTTTCACAATAAAGATACTAGCCGTTGAACAGTATAACCCAATTTTAATTTCTTCGTGTGACGACTCTATACTTACGTCGTTACACTTTATATAGATAACTGTCATGCTAATCATAAATGCCAGCTATTAGTTCTAATTTGCTTCGCTATGAATTTTCAGTGAAATCCAAATTTGGCCATACTTCCTCAGATTTCCATGAACAACTTTACTACAAGTGATTTCAAAAGATCACTCGATCAATCATTCAAACCAATCATATCAATCAAATCAATCATATCAATCATTCAATCAATCATTCAATCAATCAATCAATCAATCAATCAATCAACTTTTATTGTGCACTATTTACAGAATTAATTTACATCAGTATTATAAAATAAATATGAGAAGAGAAATATATGTTGCATATGGCTATGAAAAGAACTGAAAAATATATATATGTGCGTGGTAACGAGTGTAGGGCTTAATTTCTGGTTGGTTATCCCGGCACCACGTGAAGGTGATAACCAGGTGATAAATGCGGAAAACAAAAATACGTTACGTAGTAAACATTACGGAGAATACATTACAAAAATACAAGGGACTATTGATAAGTATTTAAGAGGTGCTCCTCATACTGCTTCTTAAAGGAATCTCAAGAAGCCATTTGAAACAGCCAGTAACAACGTGACAAAAAGCTTGGTTGTCTATTCTCTAATAATTCAAAAACTAACTGCTACATTTTAAGCAGCTCCTCAGAAAATGACTCACCTAGTGGTGTAAATCTGTTGTAATCGATTTTCCATCCTTCTCGTTTTGCTAGGAGGCGCATGCAACGCTCGGCGAGACAGGCAATGGTAAGCGATGGATTGACTCCCACTGCTCGAGGAAGAATGGCTCCGTCTACGACATAGAGTCCATCGAGCAGCTCATCTGTCTCACCTGCCAAAAGAGTTTAATTTTACAACCATTAAGCGGAATTTAGTAGTTGAAAAAAAGAATTGGATAACTTTTTCCAATTCATAGGTCGATGAATTAGCCCACATGGGTTCAGCAGGTGGGCTAAGTTGGCCTCCAATTTTTTTTGTTTTGTTTTTTGTTTTTTTTTTTATGATTAAAGTAATTATTTGTCCTGTTGCTGTATGAGACGATAGATGGTTATAGTCACCCTTCAGCATTTTCCCAGCTTGTCGTGACAGACTACACACAAATGTAATTTTTGGACGTTGCTGGAACTTAGACAGGCATGATATAGGAGTTCAGTTGCCTAGACGCATTTCAATCATAGGAATAGCTTAGCGCTGAAAAATCTGCATTTTCATTAAGATATTCCCTAGAGAAACTTTTTTGACGCCGTCAAACAGCGCAATAAACGAGAACAAAATATCCATATGCAGGACTTGACTAATTTTGCAAGGATAGGTTTCCTTGTTTTACTTCGTTTGTTGTAAATAGACTTGAATGGTAGGCCACTAGCTTTTCAGTCCTTAACTATAAATGTCTAATTAAATTAATTGAAAAAAATATTACCATTATAATAATAAAAAAAAAGACATCTGATTAACACTCATTTGAAAACGAGTGAAAATTCAATTCTGAAGCACTCAGAAACAGACTGCAAACAGAAACGATTTGTAAATCAGCCCAGAATCTAAAGCGTTTAAGTCCCGGCTTTGACTGAAAAAATAACACTGAGCCAACAGAGACAAAAAAAAAGCAACAAACAGAATACAAAAATGATCTGAATCCTGATTTTTTACTTCCGTTAGGGTCGTTAAACTGCAACAGTATCTTTGATAAAGGAAACTTAGTAGCTTACCATCAAACACTTGCCCGGCGTGATTCACCACAGCAGTTCTTCCAGATTCTCCCATAGGGCAACCTCCCAAGGGGTGTGCTGACACGACACTCCGACCCAGAGACTCCAGCCACGTCGGGTTCCTCACAAACGTTCCACCAAGACCACGCGCTATTTTCTCTAATGCTTGATTGACATTTGTGAAACTCTTTTCAAAGCCCACCTTTTCCCATGTAATGTCGATGTCGTCGGTTTTGTTTTCGAAAGAAATTACTCCAGACGCGCTATCATGACTCATACACAGAAAGGAAAGTGTGTTGTCAATCCCTTTTCCCTGTAGCTCCTAACGATAAAAGAAAATCGTTGTTAGCCCTCGCAAGAAATCAAACAGTTACATCTAAAGAAATCAGAGTTGCGGCGTTTATTTTCAGTACATCTAGATCTTCCTCAAGAAACACTAACTTTAGTATTTTGTTCAATTTTCATCGTCATACCGTTCGACAGCATTGTTCGTAAACCTGCTTTAAAACTCTTTTGGAACCGTATTCATCGTTTACCACAACTTGTTAAGCTAGCTATTCTGCAAGTCTAACACAAATTAAAGCTGCAAAACTGTTACAACATAATATATTTAAGCTATAAATGGCTCAGTATTCACTCTGGACTTTTGCATTACGCTAGGTTAGAAAAAAAATTTCCTCGCGTCAAATGTTGTGACTGTTTGATGTTCTCACCTGGAATGTTTTCTGAAGCAGATCAGTCGCAGGGTACTTATCAATTCCTATGACCTTTGCGCTGAAGCTCACGCCAACCGAAAATGGTATAGATAAGGCAGACGGAGGCGTTCCGTCTTCGATAACAAAGTTGTCCTCAAAACTGCCGCCATTTGTTTTACGAAAGTCCATGACGCATGTAATGCATGGACCAGGTGGTTGGGCAGAAGTCATGTTCTTGGTTTCAACTCCAACAGAGTTGGCCATTTTGTCTCCGTTGTAGCTAAATCCGAGTACGTCGCCGTTGGTTGAGAAGCGTTTTCCAATTTCGTCGGACACGTCCAGACCACGTTCTTTTGAACGAAGAAGTATTTTTGTGGAACCTATCGCGCCGGCACCAAGAATGACGTAGGTAACACGGACTCTTTGTTCCTCGAGGTCAAAACTGCCAGGGACAAATCTTTTGTAACTGACAATCCAATCGGTGGAATTGTAAGACTTCAAGACAGCAGTTACTTCTACCTGTATCAAGGAAAATATTGGGCCATTACCACAACAACTATAAGCCCTCAGCCGGATTAACTTCAACACGAGTAAACGTTGATCAAAGCAAATATGAAGTATGATATCTTTCCTCTATTAGTCAGTGTGCGATGAACTAATAATTTTAGAATAAAATGGGATAATGGTAGCGTTAACTATGAAATTTATTCACTGGGCTAGCGTTTACCTCGGTATACAACTCGGCTCCATGTACTTTTGCATCGGGCAGGTAATTCATGTTTAACGTGTTTTTGGCGCCGACATTGCAACCCCCACAACAATTTCCACACCCTGTGCATTTGGGCTGAGGAACTCCAACGTGATTAGATGGCGTGTCCTGGAAATTTACGTAAAGCGGTGTCTTGTAAAAGAACTTGTCTAGGTCCTCGATGTCAAATTCATTAAGGCCGTCTCTCATGCGATCTAGTTTAGACAGTGGTGGATAATAATCTGGATATGGTGTGGGCTTAATCATATCCACAAAGTGCTGTCGATCTATATTCGTCAGCTGATCCATGTCTTCTCTTATTTCTTTCGGCCACGATGGGTCCTGAAATACCGCAGGTTCTGCATCCAGTGCCACATTCGCATTGATGAGGGAGGTCCCACCAAGACCACATCCTTGGACTACAGTGAGGTCATCGGTAACAATGAATTCGTACAAGTCTGATGACTGTCCTGAAAATGTCAAAGTATTTGCATGCGGTAAGTGAGTTTTAGAAAGTATTCCGGGAAACAAGCTGGCACGTGAAAGTTTCTAGACAGCAGAACGACAGGAACAACGACCATAACTAAGCACTCCTCATATACAAGGAGTGAGGAAACATAAGACACTAGAAAATGCTTACACACCTATTTTCTTCCCCTTCCCGCCAATTGTGACCTGCGTTTCCTTTGTCGCCTCACTGAAAGTCTCTGGGAAATCACCGGGCAACCACTCTTTGCCTCGCTCCAAAACGCACACGGATTGACCCGCGCGTGCGCAGCGACTGGCGGCGATAGATGCGCCATAACCAGAGCCCACTACTACCACGTCATACTGGGACTTGATGGAGGCGTGCGGCGAGGAGAGCCTGGGAAATATGGGCTTTGACTGAACCTACGTATTAAATTAAACTAGGTTATTTGATTACAAATACTGTTAACGAGACTGACAGAGTTTATAATTAATCCAGTAATCATAAAAAAATCCTTAGCAAATCCCGGGAAGGGCGAGGCGTTGTGCAGCTTACGAGTATGACAACAAACAGATCTAGAATTATACCAGCCTTGTCCGCAGGGTCTCTCCCTTGGGACGAGGTTGGAATTGGACTGCCCTTAGTTTTAAAGTATGTCTAATTATACAGCAAAACGTAAGGTCTAAATATATGGGGTATGGATGAGTCTTTATTATAACACGTTAGGATAGAATTCCATATATTCTATGTGGCCAAATAGCATTAATAAATCTATACAAGTTGCAGAGAGAAAAGTATGTTTCTCTGACTCTAAAGGTGTTTGTGTAATCTTGTACAAGATTAATCAAGCGTTAAGTTCTTTGCATTTTGTTTTCTTGACTGAAAACTCGAACGACACCTGCGACTCTAAACTCGAATGACTCGACTCCGTCTCTTCTTTCAATCGTTCTCATTGTTTGTTTTTCTCGCCCGATACGAATAAATTGATTTTGCAAGTGCAGATTTATTTTTATCGTCTTTAAATTAGTTTTTTGGGTTGGTTCTTAATTCCACGCCAGTTTCTAGTTCATTTTTACTGTTTGATATAAATGGAACGCTCTCCAAGTGCAAGTGGGGAGTGAATTAAAATCGGCCTGCTGCTTCCTCGCTTATCTGCCATTCGTTCAGACCCATTTCTTTTGTCCTGATCAGAATAAAGGATGGATTTGTATTTGGTGGTCCCAGATTCAACTCCTCCACGCGTTGTAAATAGCCAACTGGTTAGTCTCCCGCCAGTTGGGATTTTTAAGAAGTTTCTGTTCAATGAACAATATTTGTTTGCTCATTTCAGTGTCCTCAATTAGCACAGTAGTGCTAAAGATTTTGACACTTAAATAAAGCGATTTATGTAATTTATATTTTAAGTGGTCTGTAATAACGAGGTGGCCCTAAGGCGGGTTTTCACTCAGTAATACAATTTAAATTTGGTCCGATTGTAATTTATGCAAATTGGCAAATGGAATAGCTGAAAATAGCATACCGCGCTAGCTCCTGGCTATGTTCAATTGTACTTTATTCACTTTTTTCTCCGTTACGAACGTGATCGTAAATCGTATCTAAGACTTGAACTTCAGACCAACAATTTAATTCGACGACAGGACGTATCCCACTGTCTTGAATGCACTGTTAATTTAACTTATAACAAAAGGAAGGAGGCTATTGTCTGCTGCTATTGTTGTGTATTCGAGAAATAATTTGTGTCTTCCAACTACTGTTCTGTATCGAAACTCAAAACTCGAGCCTCGAACACTCCATTTTGGAATATTGTAAAATAACCAGAAGTCGACGCCTCGTTTGTGGTCGGACTAATGTTATTTTTTAATACTTTAATATGTGGCCTTTATTTACGTCCTAATTTCCATGTTGGTAGAAAAAAGTCATTAATCGGTTTCCATATTAAGATTTGAGGCAAGATACAGTTATACTTAAAGAAACAAATACCACGGCAGATATCGATATTTGTATTTCCAAAATTCTTCACAAAAAACACGCCACATGGGATATGTGCGAGTCTGTCCGATGTCTACGAATGCGGTCTCTCCAGATTTGACGAACAATTTACAAATAAGTATTGAAAACGACTTCAGTTTCTATACTTCTTTGCAAGCCCAGTGCTAAATTGTCCGTTTGAATATTTGTTTCTTTATACGTTTTACGTAGAGTTTGCCGCAATACGCCCTCAAGCCGAGTATCCATTCGCTTTCACAGCTTTCTCGATGCAAATGAAGTTTGTGTTCCATAATAAACTTGAAAAATTCGAAGCCGCCCTTGCACAAATATTACAGCCTACCTACAGATTGTATTGTTTTTTTTGTTTTGTTTTTTAAATAGCTGGTATATTTGCCTTAAGTGAATCACCAGTGTGATATATATGCGCTAGCAGACAAACCAACAAAGATTATGACGAAATCACTTCATATCTGCTCAGATAGCTCTCTTGCTGAATAGAAATCGTCCATACATTTTTGTCCCTTATCTTATTCAGTGCCACCTTTCATATATTACTAAAAGGTCCAGTTCTTGTTATCTAATGGAGTAATCTCTAGACTGAGGCATTGGTACATTTGCACTACGATTCAGCGTGGAATGCACCACGTGAAGGCATTGCGGTAAATCTGGGGATGCGTTTATTTGGGATAGCTTGGATTAGGACCATGCACCATGATTACTTAGAACTTGTTGCATCAAAGGAACCGATCAGTCTATTCCAGGTAAGAATTGATTGGTTCCTTTGATGCAACATTATCTCGGATCATTGATCCTGGCCCGTATCGTCCCAAACGCGCCATGATTTGATGCATGATTCACTCCATCCTTTTAACACGTCCATTCATAATGCACGGCTACTGGAAAGAGGAAAATACTAATAATCCTAAGTTCTATACGTTTATAAGTTTAGAAAATGGCTGCTTGTACTACTTACTTGAGCTTGTTGTTTTGAAGCTCCACTTCCCATTGCAACTAAGTCCAACCTATCTGAATTCCCCGTGATTCACTAAGCGTGACAAATTAATGTTTTCATGGGTGGCGATGGCAATAAATTTAACGCATACAGAGGGAAGTATCACTGCATCTAGGCAATGCAAACGGTAGTGCTTTTAGGCAATATATGTACATCAGCTCGTACACAATACACCTCGGCATGTTTTGAAAGTACTGTCTTGAATGCCGTGGAAACCATAGAAACAAATTCCCTCGTGGAATTAGCAGCTGAAGCCCTCATTATTTCAAAATGGCGATATAATCGCTAGACAAACCTATTGTTATCAAACCTTATCAACAAATATTTTCAGTTCAGAAGACACAACAATTTTAAAAGGCCTTTATTTGTGGCGGAGCAAGACTTTTCTAATTGGCGGTCGCATGGGAATTTGACCATTGTCAAAAGCCTGTTCAAAAACGCAGTTATCTCTGAACATGTCTGCTTTGTCTTACTTTTTATCAAACGAAACAAGAAGCTAAGAAGTTAAAGTTCCATCTTTTTCCCTTATTCTGGCGAGACGCTTCAAGTACGGTTACTCGCACCATAGCTTTGCAATATCAACTGCGCTTTACAAGTTTTGAACACAATAACTACAAATAAAAAGAATTAGGATATTTCACTCAGCCGGAGTTAACCTTAGATATTTACTGTTCAAGTTGCTTCTTGGAGTATCTTCTTTATTCGACTGGATTTGCTGGTTGTTTACCTCGCCTTCGAAGTTCTGTTCACGAGTATATATGTGAGGTGTTCCTGAGAACTAGCACGAACTGTGCTAATTTGGCTAGCTCTCAAGCTATAGAATTAGAGGAACGTTTTTGCCTCTGCTTTGAACTACATAATACATTTTACTTGGGGTATGAGAACTGTACTTTTCATTGGCCTGCGATGGTTACCTGCAGGATTAGGAATTCAACCTTTTCACAGGACAAACCGTTTTCTACAAACAACCAATGCTATTTATTTTACTGAGACATGGTGCACTTTTCACGTACTACTGCAAAGACATAGAATAAGATACACCAGTTAGCCTAAACCATTTTTTGATTCTTCCTGATTGACTGACTGACTGACTGACTGACTGACTGACTGACTGACTGACTGACTCACTGACTGACTCACTGACTGACTCACTAACTGGCTGGGTGACTGACTGATTGACTGTCTGACTGACTGAAACTGACTGACTGACTGACCGACGGACTGGCTGGTTGACTGACTGACTGACTGGCTGGCTGGCTGGCTGGNAACTCGAACGACACCTGCGACTCTAAACTCGAATGACTCGACTCCGTCTCTTCTTTCAATCGTTCTCATTGTTTGTTTTTCTCGCCCGATACGAATAAATTGATTTTGCAAGTGCAGATTTATTTTTATCGTCTTTAAATTAGTTTTTTGGGTTGGTTCTTAATTCCACGCCAGTTTCTAGTTCATTTTTACTGTTTGATATAAATGGAACGCTCTCCAAGTGCAAGTGGGGAGTGAATTAAAATCGGCCTGCTGCTTCCTCGCTTATCTGCCATTCGTTCAGACCCATTGCTTTTGTCCTGATCAGAATAAAGGATGGATTTGTATTTGGTGGTCCCAGATTCAACTCCTCCACGCGTTGTAAATAGCCAACTGGTTAGTCTCCCGCCAGTTGGGATTTTTAAGAAGTTTCTGTTCAATGAACAATATTTGTTTGCTCATTTCAGTGTCCTCAATTAGCACAGTAGTGCTAAAGATTTTGACACTTAAATAAAGCGATTTATGTAATTTATATTTTAAGTGGTCTGTAATAACGAGGTGGCCCTAAGGCGGGTTTTCACTCAGTAATACAATTTAAATTTGGTCCGATTGTAATTTATGCAAATTGGCAAATGGAATAGCTGAAAATAGCATACCGCGCTAGCTCCTGGCTATGTTCAATTGTACTTTATTCACTTTTTTCTCCGTTACGAACGTGATCGTAAATCGTATCTAAGACTTGAACTTCAGACCAACAATTTAATTCGACGACAGGACGTATCCCACTGTCTTGAATGCACTGTTAATTTAACTTATAACAAAAGGAAGGAGGCTATTGTCTGCTGCTATTGTTGTGTATTCGAGAAATAATTTGTGTCTTCCAACTACTGTTCTGTATCGAAACTCAAAACTCGAGCCTCGAACACTCCATTTTGGAATATTGTAAAATAACCAGAAGTCGACGCCTCGTTTGTGGTCGGACTAATGTTATTTTTTAATACTTTAATATGTGGCCTTTATTTACGTCCTAATTTCCATGTTGGTAGAAAAAAGTCATTAATCGGTTTCCATATTAAGATTTGAGGCAAGATACAGTTATACTTAAAGAAACAAATACCACGGCAGATATCGATATTTGTATTTCCAAAATTCTTCACAAAAAACACGCCACATGGGATATGTGCGAGTCTGTCCGATGTCTACGAATGCGGTCTCTCCAGATTTGACGAACAATTTACAAATAAGTATTGAAAACGACTTCAGTTTCTATACTTCTTTGCAAGCCCAGTGCTAAATTGTCCGTTTGAATATTTGTTTCTTTATACGTTTTACGTAGAGTTTGCCGCAATACGCCCTCAAGCCGAGTATCCATTCGCTTTCACAGCTTTGTCGATGCAAATGAAGTTTGTGTTCCATAATAAACTTGAAAAATTCGAAGCCGCCCTTGCACAAATATTACAGCCTACCTACAGATTGTATTGTTTTTTTTGTTTTGTTTTTTAAATAGCTGGTATATTTGCCTTAAGTGAATCACCAGTGTGATATATATGCGCTAGCAGACAAACCAACAAAGATTATGACGAAATCACTTCATATCTGCTCAGATAGCTCTCTTGCTGAATAGAAATCGTCCATACATTTTTGTCCCTTATCTTATTCAGTGCCACCTTTCATATATTACTAAAAGGTCCAGTTCTTGTTATCTAATGGAGTAATCTCTAGACTGAGGCATTGGTACATTTGCACTACGATTCAGCGTGGAATGCACCACGTGAAGGCATTGCGGTAAATCTGGGGATGCGTTTATTTGGGATAGCTTGGATTAGGACCATGCACCATGATTACTTAGAACTTGTTGCATCAAAGGAACCGATCAGTCTATTCCAGGTAAGAATTGATTGGTTCCTTTGATGCAACATTATCTCGGATCATTGATCCTGGCCCGTATCGTCCCAAACGCGCCATGATTTGATGCATGATTCACTCCATCCTTTTAACACGTCCATTCATAATGCACGGCTACTGGAAAGAGGAAAATACTAATAATCCTAAGTTCTATACGTTTATAAGTTTAGAAAATGGCTGCTTGTACTACTTACTTGAGCTTGTTGTTTTGAAGCTCCACTTCCCATTGCAACTAAGTCCAACCTATCTGAATTCCCCGTGATTCACTAAGCGTGACAAATTAATGTTTTCATGGGTGGCGATGGCAATAAATTTAACGCATACAGAGGGAAGTATCACTGCATCTAGGCAATGCAAACGGTAGTGCTTTTAGGCAATATATGTACATCAGCTCGTACACAATACACCTCGGCATGTTTTGAAAGTACTGTCTTGAATGCCGTGGAAACCATAGAAACAAATTCCCTCGTGGAATTAGCAGCTGAAGCCCTCATTATTTCAAAATGGCGATATAATCGCTAGACAAACCTATTGTTATCAAACCTTATCAACAAATATTTTCAGTTCAGAAGACACAACAATTTTAAAAGGCCTTTATTTGTGGCGGAGCAAGACTTTTCTAATTGGCGGTCGCATGGGAATTTGACCATTGTCAAAAGCCTGTTCAAAAACGCAGTTATCTCTGAACATGTCTGCTTTGTCTTACTTTTTATCAAACGAAACAAGAAGCTAAGAAGTTAAAGTTCCATCTTTTTCCCTTATTCTGGCGAGACGCTTCAAGTACGGTTACTCGCACCATAGCTTTGCAATATCAACTGCGCTTTACAAGTTTTGAACACAATAACTACAAATAAAAAGAATTAGGATATTTCACTCAGCCGGAGTTAACCTTAGATATTTACTGTTCAAGTTGCTTCTTGGAGTATCTTCTTTATTCGACTGGATTTGCTGGTTGTTTACCTCGCCTTCGAAGTTCTGTTCACGAGTATATATGTGAGGTGTTCCTGAGAACTAGCACGAACTGTGCTAATTTGGCTAGCTCTCAAGCTATAGAATTAGAGGAACGTTTTTGCCTCTGCTTTGAACTACATAATACATTTTACTTGGGGTATGAGAACTGTACTTTTCATTGGCCTGCGATGGTTACCTGCAGGATTAGGAATTCAACCTTTTCACAGGACAAACCGTTTTCTACAAACAACCAATGCTATTTATTTTACTGAGACATGGTGCACTTTTCACGTACTACTGCAAAGACATAGAATAAGATACACCAGTTAGCCTAAACCATTTTTTGATTCTTCCTGATTGACTGACTGACTGACTGACTGACTGACTGACTGACTGACTGACTGACTCACTGACTGACTCACTGACTGACTCACTAACTGGCTGGGTGACTGACTGATTGACTGTCTGACTGACTGAAACTGACTGACTGACTGACCGACGGACTGGCTGGTTGACTGACTGACTGACTGGCTGGCTGGCTGGCTGGCTGACTGAATAATTAACTAAATCAATTAAGATACAAATATTTTGTTATGTTGTTATTTTTTATTCACTGTAGAAAAACTCACGACTTGGAAATTGATGCTGATACAATCAAACTTGTATTAGGGGGACACCCTCGGGACCCGTGCTAATTTCCTCCTAATACAGGGTGTCCGTTGAAAGTAGGTTCCCTCAGAATTCGTCTGAAAAGGGTCATTAATATCCGTCAGTATTAAAAGACCTTTAACGGGTCAAATCGCATTCTCGTGAACAGTCGATAACTCTGAATTTCCATAAACAATAACGAGTATATGAGGTAAAGCGATTTAAGTATATAGCAACAGTATCTATATACATTGATCGAATGACGTGAAGGTTCAAAAAATCAAACAAGAACACAAAAGTTCTGAAAAACAAAACTGAAAAACATGCAACCTTTTTGCAATGTCAGTTTGATACAGGTTTCTAACAATAGAAATTACCATAAAAGTCAAGTTTAAACTGTCCGCGTCCGCTTAATAGAGGTGTCCGTTAAATACAGATATTTTTGTTTTACAGTGAATTTGGGCAAAGAAAAAAGTGGGATTTGCACTGCTGTCCGCTTAATAGAGGGTATCCGCTTAATATGGGGTCCGCTTAATACAGGTTTGGCTGTATACAGATGTACTAAGATCATGAACAGTTCTGGTTGTGAACTTGGTAAACTAAAATGAAGTTTGCTGTACGGCTAGCTTCTTTTGGACGTTACCCATTCATAAAATCATGATATACCCACCCTACTGTTGTACGAGGGGGCAATAAATAGGGCTTACCACAAGTTGCTCGAGATTTCCCAAAAAGTTGCCCGAAATTTCTCTAAAAGTTGCTTTTTGTAACGAAAGTTGCTTAAAAGTTGCTAAAAAAAAAGCAAAAAACTTTATTTTTGTTTCTCTCTTCTTTTATTTGGTCTGATGCAAAGATATGCAATCTGTACAACAATAGTAACATTTCTAAGCAATTTGTGCAATTTTGCGTTGTAACCAGCGTCGCTAAACAAGTTTGTTCACAATACGTATGAGTAAATACTACGCATCAATATCAACATAGCAATATTGATCCTGTAAAAATTATATTATGAGCCAATAGAATTGTCGTTGCTGTTCAAGGTCAAGACTTCTAACCATTTTCATGCAATATAACTGCGATCACAGTTCATAAAAACATGTAACCTTGAGTCCTTGACCTTAATGAAAACAGACTTATGTTGTACCAGACTACAGTACAGAGAAATACACATCACTTTGAAGGGACTGACTTAGTGACTGACGATAAAAATTCGGCATTTATCTATCTATATGTAAATAATATTGTATCAAACTTATCAACAGATAACCTATTTAGTGGCTCTCAAATAAATGCTATCTTAAAGTGTTTCTCCTCTGGGCATGGATTTGTAAACAACAGCATTGACATGTAGCGGATCAAGGTAAGACACTTCGCTTGTTGCCATTACATCGGAGCATGTGTGATGCCTCAACAGTCCCTTCCAGTGCTGCATCTTGCTGCTTTGAAAACGTATTCTGAAGGATACTGAAGACACATTCCGCTGAGGCTGAGCTTGGTTGAATCATCAAAATCTTCTTTACAGCTGTTGACCAGTTTGGAAAAGCCCGTTCTTGTGATGACTACCACGGCACTTTTCCCTCTACTGATTCGACAACTGCACCATCAGCAATGGCAAGATACAGAGGAAGCTCTCGTGCGGCAATTGTAGCATCAAGATAATATGTTGCTGAAACAAAGAGTTGGCCAGCATCAATCATTGCAGCAAGTTCAATTTCTAAGTCACGATCACCGACTGGGTCATCAAAGAGCTCTAAGAGATGCCTGTGACAAGAGGGAGCCAGGTGTTCATTTTCTCTTAGAAAGGCTTCACATCCCCAAAATACTGCATTACTCGATTAAGGACTTCCCACTTACTCCACCACCTCTTTTCTGAGCTTAGACGCATTGCAGTTCCTGTCCTTGTTTTCCATGCCATGTGGGCAGTTGGACTGAGAGAGAATATGGTATTCCAGTACCAAGAAATTGTATTCAGTACACCAAATTCGAAGTGCTTTCCAACATTGTCAATCGTGTGAGAAAAACATGTAAGATTAAACATGTTGGGGAAAGAAAAAAGACTCATTTGACGCAGACCAGCTTCATTCACTGTCGCACCATCCCTCATTGATGCCAAAAGTTGATCGGGACGAAACATGCACTCAAGAGCCAGACAGCTGAGCAAGTTTGTCCGCATTCATGCTCTTTGCAAGAACCTCCAGCTTCACAAGCCTCTGTTGTATAAGCCAATGGTTATCAATAAAACACACAGCAATACCTTAAGATCTTTTTGGATTCATTCCTTCGTCGTTTCTTTTCATCAGGTCTACAATACTCTGGTCTTTTTTCTTGCTTTTCGCTATAAATGTCTTTGATTTAATATGTTTCTGCGATGCAATGTGCTTCATTACACAGCTCTTTTTTAGACGTAGCTTCCTTGCGTGCGTCACATCTGAGTTTACTCGACCTACAGTGAGAAACTCTCCTTTGAACTGACTTAGACTTGGATTTGTACGTTTACACTTTGCGTTCTGTTGAAATCGCCGCTTTCGCTGGAGCCAGTCTTGCCCCTACTTCTGCGGCTACCCTCAAAGGATCGATGATGAATTTTGCGAACTTTCTTGATAGTTTCTTTTATATGCTTTGGGAGAAAATGTTATTTCCACCCCACTTGCTGGAAACGAGGAATTTTTTCTTAGTTTTAGAGATTTATGGGCGATTCAAAATATGACCGAAATCGCTTTCATCCCTTGTCTCCTTCTTAGCTGTTACGGTAGTCAACTAGCGATTCGAATCAACAACAGACCGAATCTAGACTACGAGTAGTCGGTTTTTGTTCCTGAAATCCTCCGCGCTTTGGACTGAGTTAAAATAAAGGAGCTCGGTCACCTTATTTTGAATTCTTTTAGCCTCGTGCAAAATTACCTTTAATTTATGGAAACCTGAAAGTAACAGGTTAAGACAGAAAAACACCAAATAGATAATAAAAAACCATAAAGGAACAAGGATGTTTAAGGATGGAGAAAATTAAACATGGATTACACATGGCGAACTTGAAAAATTCAGGCTAAAATTTTCAAGATGTGCAAAACATGACGAAGCTTCTTTAAGATTGTCGAAACTCGGCTCGTCCCGCGCCAACAAAGATTACAAGATAGGTTAGGAATTTAACCGGTTTACAATGTAGGTAGCATACCACGTAGTCTACAAACTGTCAATGCCATGTGTTATAGACATGATGTTCTTTTCGGCTTACTAATGCAAGCTATAGCATTACATACTTCAGTTAGCTTCCTATTAAAAGCCATTTATTGGTTCGTCGTCTTTTTCTTCCTTTTTTAATTATTACTCCTACTTTTATTCACTTATCATTGAAGTTCCTGTGTGGTGTTGCACATGTCAACTGGGTATCGTCAGTTTTCTTTGGGTTTATGATCAAACGGCAGAGGTTAAGGTCGAAGACCGGCACTTCACGCTTTTACGTGAACATTGAGGAGGTGCAATCCTTTCGCTTCTTTCAGGTGGAGAGTCGTGGCGTCTACAGATCCCGTTTGTTAGTAAGCTCTTCATTTCCTGTCGGTAATTTTCGTTGAAAATCGTGTAACAGATGGGATTTGCGGCACTGTTAGCTAGTATTAAAATATTTGAGAACGCCACAAGTTCCCAGAAATGGCTCCAACGTTTGTCCGCCTTTCCGTAATCAAGCCAGAGCCACAAAATGTTGTTTGGCAGTAGGCAAAATGCGAACAGCGTGGTTACCACTTTAAGCATGCGCACCACTTTCCGAGCTTCTTCTTCCTGTAGGTCTTTAAGACACTGGTTACCATTCTCCGCCCTTTTCTTTAACTCACGGCTTATGTTGAAATACGCGGTGAACATGATGCAGAACGGGAAAATGTACTGGAAGAAGAAGATGCTTGTTGTGTACACTTTAGCAGTCATAGAATCGCGCCAACTCTCTTCGCAAGACTTCACAACTGGGTTAAACCTCAACGCTTGAAAATAAGGTGTTACCGGTAGAATGGCAGAAAACCATACACAGACAATAATAATCTTCGCTCCAGTTTTGGTGAGCTGCTTTTTCAAAGGATGAACAATTGCTCTGTGTCTAGCGAGACTAACGGCTGTTAGCGTGTATACAGAAGCAAATAGCAAACATGTTTGCAAGGGGTAGAGTATTTTACACATAAGCGAGCCATATGGCCATGAGTAGTGCAGTTCTTGCACTGGAATATCAAACGGTATACAGATACAGGTAAGAGTCAGGTCGGCTACCGCCAGATTTAAAATGAAATAGTTGGTCACTGTTTTCATCCTCTTGCGACGCAAAATAACCGTACAGACAAGAACATTGGCAAAGACACTTGTTACGAAGATGATAACATATAAAGTTATCTTGATAATCCTGAAATGCAAGGGAAACTCGGGAATAGCTGGCGAAGACGTATTCGTGTTATTATCCATGATCCTGTGAAATAAAGGTTGCGTGATCGCACCCCTGAGAATATAAAAACAACAACTCTTAAACTCGACGGCTAGTACTCTTGAAAGCTATTGAATAAAGTGAAAGTCAAAGGATCTTATCAACAAATGGAATTTGTTTCTCAAAAATGTATTCTTTTTTTTTTTTCTACAAAACATTGTAATGGAAATTCCTTCTTTTTTTACAATTTGCGCAATTTAATTTGCAACGGTCTCCGTTTTAAGAACTCAACTGAGCTGAAATAATCATTAGAGATATTCAGTTTCTGTTCTTTGAGTAACATCTAAACCTGAAGAAGGCTGGTCTGGCCAGCCGAAATATTGTTTTAAATATACGACGTTGTGTTAGCCTTGCAGTAGTGGTCGACTTCTCATCTTTCTATTTTTGATGCACGTCAAGTAGCAAAATCGTCGTCGTTTTAAATGTATGTCTACTTGAAAATAAAATCCAGTAATTCATGTCTGTCATATGTATTCTTGAAGAAGCTAACAGTAGTTTACGCATTTCTTTCAAGACAAACAAAAACCGCATTACATTTTTGTTTAAGTGGCAAAATGGATTATGCTCCGTGCTCAAGCCTGTGCTGGCGTTGTTACAAGTAGTCGATAACATATTCTTGATGGCAAACAAGAAAATTACACGAAAAGAAATATGATGATTCATGTGAAATGCTTAGCGGCTGAGAAAAAATAAGTAGAGCTTACCTCAAATTTGTGGATGGAAAAAATAATGCACGTACAATATTACCATGTGCGGACAAAGTTTTGAATTTGTTCTCAAGTATTCTCAGAGATTGAAAGGCGAAATACTGCACTGAGGGCCTGAACTCAGTAAATGCTGTGTACCTCTTCGCTGAGACGACAAAATGCAAAAGTCAAGGTTGGAAAGTTATGAAGAAGACCATCTAAAATACACAAAGGGTTATCTTCTGACAGTTTGAAGTACACCTGCACGAAACGCCTGAAAAGTGGCAACACAACTGTGTATTTTTTGATGGACTCGCTCTATTTTGCAAATAGAGGGTAGATCAATTCTATTTTCTAAGTTCCTTCCTGCTGTACACTTGTCTTTAGAAGGAAAACACTTTTGTTTTCATCTTTTTACATAATTAAAAATTTGAAGTGGTAAACCACGACATTTACCATCGTTGGCGACGAAACATTTGCTTTTTTTCTTTATTTTATTATAATTTTTTGTTTCTTCAGCAATGTTTTTTTTGTCTAGTGAAATTAAAGGTCTTATCTTATCCCGTGATGTTTTCATCCGCATCTTAATTTACTCGCGTTAGTTAGCAAACAAAAAATTGTTTCATTGTCGTTGTTTCCTTCCGAAAGCTGGCACAGTTGTCACAAGAGATCCAGTAGATCTCATTTTAATTAAAAATTTGAAAGAGAAACGTTTTCTCTCCACTAGAAGCGTGGGCTTTTGTTTTAACCTGACGAAATTAATGTGTTTTGTTTGCAGGCAAAGAAAAAAAAAAACTGATGATAATCATGAAACTTACATCAATTATCTACGTCATAAGGCTGATGTTCACTAACGCTAGGTCAGTTAGCATATAAAGCAACATACACAATAAGGTGCTAAAAAGTAGCGCCTTTAGGTCGAAAGCATTGTATGCAACCTGGCGTGTATTCTAATATATTACTTTTGCTAATGCAAAAGTTGAAAGCAGCTTTTGCAGGACGAGCATGTAGTTTATCGGAGGGTAGTTTAGCAAATAAACATGTGTTTTGGATTGTATGCAACATCATTTCCGGATATGTTTTAATACAGGGGAAATGATGACACTTTGGAGTGAAAGGCTTTTGTAATAGAAATGAGCTATTTGTGATCTTATCGTAGAACAGGGCCGGGAGGCGTTATTCCATTCGATTGCAATTCCATGATAAGGACAGTTGAGTGAAAAATAAAATGAAGCGTTGCTTATTCCCAATTCCCCCCCCCCCCCCCCCCCCCCCCCCCCCCATCTTCCCCTAACCTTTTTTGCCTATTGCGATTTCCACACGGGAAAATAGATACAGTCATACAAGTGATGTTTGCATACGCAGCTTAATCCACTTTGCTTTTGTATTTCTTTGTTGTTGTTGTTGTTGTTGTTTTTTGTTTCGTTTTTTCCGCAAAATTTATGTCACTTGAGTTCTTAGTTAATATAAAAAGCTCAGGTACTTCCAATTTCTTTGTATCGCAAAGCGCAGACAAAGTGTTCGTTGGGGTTTTAATTTAAAATAGATTATTCAAATGTGCCATTTATTAAAAAAACTCTTAAACATAATTTATTTGATAATTGAAAGCAATTGGGAAATATCATTTCGTCTCAGAGCAATTAAATTCCATCTATTTCGCCTGGGGAGGGGGCGAAGAGGACAGTTCTTTCACTGATATCAAAGTTATGGGGAAAAAAAGACATGGATATTGAAATTGAAATTATTCAAAGAAAATTGTCAAAAATCGACTGAAGAGACTGATAGGGTAACGTCTATTCCTGTCAAATGTTTCCTTGCGCTACTTGAAGTTTACATTTCATATTTGACCCCGAAATATAAACGTTTTTTAAGGAGGTAATGCAGGGGGACTTCTGTTTTCCTTAGGTGAAAATTACGAATCACGGCACAAGCTACATTATACTACTGACAGGGATATTGGGCATCCCCCTCCCCTCTGAATGTAAATGCTGCTCCTGGGCAATCTCAGAATTATATGACGATACAACCTGTTCCAGAAAACGTATGCATCTGAGACTTCGAGCAGTACCACCGGCCAAGAAGCACACTGCACCTCTTCTAACGGGCTATCTAGAATACTCTTCCGTATAAATCGACCATTTTGTACAAGTGTTTCAAACCGATTTGTGCTTCTGTGTGTTTTAAATTTTCGGTGGCTTCTGTTCACTTCATCAGAGTCACAATGTTACATGTTACATTTAATTCCTGTGACATTTTCGAACCTACACCATGCACACGTCAAGAAATTCAGCGCGCGCCTTTTTGGTACATTTTTATATTTCTTTATTTTCTTCCAAGCAAACCGTGACAAAGCCAAAATTTTAAGTTAAGGAACAGAAGACAATTATATCTGTATTTTTTAAATTTATTTTTATTGTTTTTTCCATAGATTACAGTAACCTAGGTGCCAAGGTTTACAACAAGGTTATGATTTTATTGGGCAAAGAAAACCAGCACTGACAAACACTGCTGCAAAAGTCCTAATGACATTATTTCATACCATTCCGTCAGGTTTTTCCCAATGTGGCGAGTTCTTTCATTATTTTTTTCGCAACAATTTATCGCCAATAAAAGCGTCGATTTAAAGTTCTTTGCGACATTGTCTGCCATTGCCATATGTAGGTATACCATGGTGATGTCCGCATGTTAATACATAAATTCTAAATTTTGGGCGATGAGGAGTTCCTTTCTTGAACAGTTCTCTAAGGATTTAACAAATAGCAACATCGTCAAAAACTTCAAATGAACCTAAAACGTCAATGTCTTACAATTGTCGCCTTGGTGCGTTCTGGATGGCCATTTTCGAGGTGGCTTTTTCCTCTGTGTTAAAACGAGTTTTCGTTCGAAACTATTCATATGAAAATGTGTTTCGCCTAGAGGTTCATTTTTATGTAAATTAAACTCATTTTCATATGAATGTTTCGCGCGAGTCCTCTTTTTGAAACAGAGACACAATGTAACTCAAAAATGGCCTATTCAACGGATTTCCACACCCGCGAATTTGCCTCGACAACAGTTGGAATTACGTTGTTATCATAATAGAAAACTGTAACTGGATAATTGCGTTTGAATAGCATGTTTTTGCTTAATTGAAACTCTTCAGTTAACGAGCTGCATGACCTTTTGTATACGCAAGGATAAAGAAACAGCAATGGCAATACGGGTTAAAATCCACCAATCATATCAGACCAGCAGGGCCTCAGGAAATATGCAGTCAATCAATTTATCGTGTGACACAGCATGTCAAGCGGTCGATGATATTTCGTAGTCCAAAAGATACGTACTGATTACCCTTTTATTTAACACCATCAATAACCTTTTCCTTTTCATGACATAGCATGGTCGTTTAAATCAAACTTAAGTCTGACACCGAAAACGAAACGGTGTATGGCCTAAAAGTAGAAATTGAAGCCTCCCCTCATCAGTAGCTCAAAGTCGTGAAAAAACAAACTCCACCTGGTGTTTTTCTTAACATAAGTCCAATGTATTGATTTTTGGCGGCATTTTTTTGGCCGCACTTTTTCTCCATTACCGAACTTGTTTAACATTTGCTTTCTCTCTGTGTAGATCGAGAGCAAGTGAGATCCTTATATTGTCTTTAATTTGCGTCGTTTACTGATATACTATTTAACAGACTTTTTTGTATTTATTTTACAAAACTATGGCTAAGAGAAATTGAAATCTCCATGGAAGGACTGAAATAGTCTGTGTAAAAGAAACCCAAAAGCACTCACCTTTCAAATCGCCATGCTGTGATATATTTTGCCCTTTATGGCTCCAGGAGCTTCTTCTAAAGAGACAAATTCAAAAAAGGACGTTTTCGCCACTATTTACAAGTTATTCTACTTTGTTAGTTAAACGCATTTTTTTCGAAACCTTCGCTATCGCTGTGCATGCAAACATATCCTAACCTTATTCATATTGGGCTTTGGAGGATTTAACCTTAAATTTAATGCCTTGGGATAACATTTACCTATGATGCATCCATGACACCAGTATTTGACAGGTATGTTTATCAAATGTTCATTTTTTATGTTTTGTTAATAAGAACTAACTTTCTTATACGTAGATCCAATATGCCAAATCTATTAACGCTGTGTGGTGCATATAACGTCATAGCTGACAAAAAAGCTTCTCATTTTAATTGAAGAAAGCTGAAAGCTATGCAATAAAAACAAATAATGTTGTTATGTCTTGTAAGAATAAGATCCTAAGGCGTTCCAACTGCTAACACCTTGATGGGGGCATGTATTCGCTTGTTTCGACCGAGGCTTAATTAAGCAATCATATGTTGCCTACAGCCTAATTAATATTTAGGTAGTTTTACTTATTTCTTTTCCCGCTTGGCAGTGATACTGCACTTCCAGGTACTTGTGTGTTTCTCCGCACGGATTTCCAAACACTTCATTAGACGCTTCGACTTCACAGAAGTTCTTGCCGTTGCATTTGTCTTTCACCATCTGGTCTGATTCTGGCGAGCTGTTGGAAAACAACCAAACAAACAAAAACAAGACAAACAAACCGTTATGCGAGAAGTAACGATTAATCATAAGGGTGCTAACATCTAGCATGACAGCCTAGACTAACTTATAAACCTTCATGATCATAAAAATATCTGCAATGCTTGGAGTATACAGACTAACGCCACATCAACTTCTGGATTTGGAGGCGTGAGAACACGAATCAATCAATCAATCAATCAACTTTATTTAGAGGGGTGACACATGACAGTATAAACTGATAAACTAGTGGCCCTCTGTGCTAAAAATCTACGAGTAATTATAAAATAACTAAGTTTAGTACAAAGTATTAACAACAACAGGTTACGATATGTAAAAAGGTACAATAAAAAGTTACAAAAATGTATATATGTATATACATAATTACAATGTTAACTAAGAGGAAGCTCATATGAACAGTTCCGAAGATTTTGAAAAGCTATTGCCACAGAAATTGAGATACTTACAAGCATCGATTGTTCTCAGCCAATTGCTCACCGCATGTCCATTTATCCTTTCGCCCATAGTTTGCGTTCACGACTTCAATCATTTGAGATTCAGGGCACGTAATATTCTCGGGTGGATTAAACTCGCAGACGGCTTTCTTTATTAACTCTGCAAGGTTTTCAAAATGGACAGTAAATGGTAATCACAGACTCGTATTCCTTAGGTTACCTTGCGATGGACACCACACGGCAAAAGAAAACCTGGTCGACCAAAAACCACCTAGCCCCGAATTTTCAAGGCAGAGCTCACCTGAGGTAAACTCTTATAGAGCAAGGCACAACATGCTGCACCAAATATAGGGATAAATGGAGGGGAAATTGCTTTTACTTCATTTTCCACAGAAGAGGACCTAGTAATAGGACCAAGTAAGTACTGGACAAGGCAAACGTGTTTCTGCTGTTTTTGGTCCTTCGTAAATTACACTGAACAGAGAGTTTTCAGGGACTGATCACCTTAACGGAAGTTAACTACGCTAATTTTGTTCGTCATAGAACGTGTGGCCAGCAGAAAACAAAAAAAGAAAAGAAAAAAAGATCAACGACTTAAAGCCCGCGAAAAGGAGACCGTAAGTAAAACGAACAAACCCAAACCGCGTTCGTCTTGCTCTATATACACAGAGGTTAATAAAGTGTAGGATTCCGAGTGGTCAACATTACTTCCCTGTACTTCAATTTGTTCATGAACAAGAACACATCTGCAACCGAAGTCCTGATATATATATATCAATATAAAACATAGACTTTTGAAAGACTGGAGCGACAACCGTAAAATAAAATACTTCAAGCATTTTTGTTCCATAGTTGAAAACTCTAGATACTGCGACCTTAATAATTAAACATAATTGAAAGTCAGTGTGTGTTCCAATAATCAATTCACTAGCTGTATTGAACTTACATTTCAGTCTGTTCAAAAACTAGCAATATTATTCCCAATAGAATGATTCGGTAATGTGTGTACATCCTTGTTGCCACCTAAATTTAGATCTCGAGATGATTCATTTGGGAGGTTACATTTGTGCAATTTGTCACGCACAATTGATTACATGGGAGTATATTCCGACAGAACAATTGTAACTTTCCAAATCAATTGTCATATGATTTGAATTGGGTTGCAACAAGGATATAAACACGTAAGCCGAATCTGTCTACGAACCCATTTTGCCGCATAAAAGTACCTTACCTGACTTACAGAGGTAATACATCTGCAAATATTTCTTGATTCCTTGGCACTCCGGAGGATCACCATATTCGTCTTTGTTTGATTCCAGATTACACGAGTTTATATCGTCACATGTTTCCTGCACCATGCTCAGAACGAAATCATAATCAGATTTGCAGGTGGTGTTAATGAGTTGATCACCATCAACACAAATATCGGAATGTTGTCGGCCATAACTCGCCCAAACAGTGGATATGACGTTTTGATTGGGACATTTTACGGTTCTTGCTGGTTCACCATCGCAGATTGTTTCCACAAAAAATTCTTTCCATATTAAAGAAAAAAAAAAAATGAAAAAAAGAATTGAAAAAAAAAAATAACCAAAAAAGCATAACAGCGTTAAAAACTCAAGACATATTTCTCGTCATGAAATATGTATAAGCAATCTTTAAAAGTAAATGAGATTGATGTATGTACTGCAAGGGCTAGCAAAATAGCTTGGGATGCGGATAAGGTTATTTGTTCTTCTAGAAACGTGTTTGAGGCAGCGTGGCCGAGTGGATAGGGCGCCGGACATGAGATCCGGAGGTCTTTGTTTCAAGTCCCGCTCTGACCACTTAGCTTGACTTGTTTCTCAGTAGACCCTAGTTCAACTCCTAGGTCATGCTTTCAAATTAATAGCCAACTCGTCTGCCACCTACCAGTTGAAATTTTAAACCTATTATGTTTAGTTGATATATTTGTTCCTTTCAGTTTAAGTGGCATGCCTGTGATTTAGCTAGGTGTAGCTAAGCGCATTGGCCACTATAAACAACAACATTTGTACATTTTTTTTTTTTTCTTTTCTTTTAACATTTCCTAGATCTTTCGCCTAACTGCGGAGGTCTCCTGTTCAATTTGCAGGTTGCTGCTCGACTTAAATTTATTTCTAAATAATGTTTTGTGTCAATATGTTTATTATTATTATTATTATTATTATTATTATTATTATTATTATT